TTTCTTATTTCTATTTTTTCATACTTAGTTGGTGTTTATTTGTCTTTATCTTCAGTCGAGTACTCTGAAGCGACTTATTAAAAAAACATTTCCAGAAAGATAAAATATCAACGTGTATCGTACAATATATACCTCCTGAGCGCGTATCCGCGAGACTAGAATTGTAGTAAAAATTTGAACACCTGCATTTATTACTTTCCTCTGCCTCTGTTCAAAGCGCTTTGCCAATGTTGTTTTGAAATACTTTCCAAACGTTTTGACATTGTGAAATTGACATCTATTTCAAAGCAATACTTTTAAATATAATATGCTAAAATTTAATTTTATTAATCAATAATATCGTTATTAAGTGTGATTTTATTCAACGCACCTATAATTTAATTAAAACAAGTTTATTAAGAAAGCGTTGTGAAGTGAAAGAAGATGTAGTTTCAATTTCAAATATTGAGAAAAGTATGTTGAGATGGTTTGGATATACAAATTTGGAAAATACTATACGAGCCATACGGTGTAGGTACGAACATTTCTATTATTTGCAGGCAGTTATTCGCAAAACGTCGGAGAGCATCGTAATCAAATCGGTGAATATGTACAATGAACATCGAGATAAACATACATATATTCGTTACTTGTTACAATAAGTATAGCATAATTATGTTACTTTGTTTTTTTTTTGTAGAGTTTTGCGAAATTATGACGAATCGGCAGAGCCCGAGGAGGAAATCAGTAAGGTTAAAACGTATCCGTATTTCGGAAATCACCTAAAAATGTTTATGTAATTTTGGTGATTTCGCTGAGAAATCCTTCATAATTTTATAAGATAACGTCGTTTTATGCTCTTCCCTTGTCTTTTGATCCACAAGCTGCTGCATTTACATTTTTGAGCGACGATTTAATTTCGAAGTGAAATCAGTGATGATTTCGACCATGATTTTCGATCATTTCGAAAATTTTGATAAAATTTGTAGCGATTTCGGTTATTTAGAGTGAAAATGTACCAGTATTTTGGGAGTGGTTAACTCCTTGACAGAGTCAAAATAAAATCTTTTTAAAATACATTGTATTTACCGATAAGTCAACTTTTTCATTGCACAATCAACAATCCATAGACATTGTGCTCGAAAAAATAAACATTTAAGTATTCTGACATGCAAACAGTATCCTTAGAAATGAAATGGTTGCACTGGTATTTTAAGGGACCTCGTTATTGGCCCTTTTTCACTCATGGTAAACTTGATGGTCAAAAAATTAAGATTTAATTCAAAATCAAGTTATTATTTTTCACGATACCCACGATAATGTATGCATTACTAAATCAGAACTTTCTATGAGCTCGCAGATCGCAGAAGAGGTGGTAGTCGTACACAAAATATAGAGATGTTCACTCGCAGTGCCTATAGCCTACAGCTCGTATAATTTTATCCTAATCTGTATAAGGAGGATGAACGGTAGATAGACGAAATAAGTTTACAAGACGAGTGTGGATGGGAGAGATGGAAATGGTCGACCTCAGTGAACGAACTTCAATCAGATTGAGAACGCTTTTAGCAAAGGCCAGCTTAATAGTAGTACCCTAATTAAGTTAACAACAATGTACCTATCTATATAGTTTAATTTTAAAAAAAGTTGGCTCTCAAAAGAATTTTCAGTCGTTTACTGTTGCTATTTGGCTCTGTTGACTGATGAGTGTGCTGACCACTGCACTAGTGCAACAAATTAAATCCATTATTGCTTACTAACCAACTGACAGGTGGAATTTATTAGCTGCGTTCAATGAGTATATCGAATTCTTGCGGTGATTGGGGTAGCAGAATCAGCTTGCTGAACGGTACGCATTTGCAATTGAAAGTGAACTTGTTTATTGTCACTTGGAGTTTGTATTTTTTATATTGAAGTTTTTTTATGATTTTTATCCCTATATAAAGCACAACCCAGGTTGTTAGAGATATATTTTTTAAGCAATCGCAAATAGCGATAGGTTTTAGGTTGTTTTTATAAGCTTTTTCGCTCAACTTTCGCGATCGCAGTAAAAAGGAGCGTAAAAATTAAACAACCCAAAATGATACTCATCGATACGAAGCGATATCTATCGTGGAACGAAAGTGATTGGTAACGGTTGGGATCACTATGTCTCATTGAACACACCTATTTACTAGCAAAGTAGTGAATGTCAAGTTTTGTGTATTTAACGCACTCTTGAACGTTTTATTACTAATATTTTTTGATCAATTGTTTCACCAAAAATCGTTTGAGAACTATTTTGCGTGCGAGGATATGACAATAGTTATTCCAGATGGTTCCGAATTTTGGACATTACATGAGGCACCTGCAGAGTTATTAAATGACAAATGAATTTTTTGAGAAAAATTAAAACCGTAAATAGGAAGTGAAAATATAGCTAACCTAGAGTAAGCACTGATAAAAGAAAAAGTAACTAAATTTATCATAAATATAATAAAGATGGCAGAAAGCAACTGAAACACATACGGATAGAAAATTTAATGGAAACTTGATTATAATATTTATTTATTATTCAAGTTGTCTTTATATTTTCGTAATAAATTATTTTGATTTTTTCGTCATTTTTAAACAAGTACATGCCATATTTATTTAATTGCGTAAGTAAAATTACAGTCTTCTACGACTAAGATGGCAAATTCTTAAGATAGTAGTAAAAATAATAGGCTACTATCAGAAAAATGATATGTAATATAACTTGCATAGTAAGATATAACAATTACTTCTGAGATAGTGTTTAGTTCAGAAACTGTAAAAACCTTTCCAGACATATATTTATCTGTGGACTAAAAGCCAATTTTATTTGTTTTAAAGTTATAAAAGAATCTCTAAATCTAGATAAATACAATTACATCACTACACCAAAAAAATTATATGCAACACATTTACAGCTCCAGTTCACAGTCGTAGATGCTGAAGTGTCCAGTAAAATAGGCTATGATGTAACTGTATTGAACTAGTTTGAAGGAACCAAAGGTTCCAAACTCCTGACTTTTTAAATCTAGAAATCAATAACATATAATTTGATAACATAAAAAATCTGCAGATACATTTCATAAATATATATTCTTTTTGTTTCTATTATTATTTCAGTAACCAATTAGTCAGAAGATTTGAGATATACCCGACATCACTAGTTACAACAGCTATTTTCTGACTTCTATTAAAAGGGGCTCTATCAATACTATACATTTAAAGTAAAATTATATTAAATGAGTATTATATAGCTATAAAAAGAAAAAATATATATATTTGATATTTGTTTAAGATATAAGTATAAAAAATTTACCTACAATTTAATCATAAAAGTAAACTTGTAGTTACACAAAAGAATTTTAAGAATCAAAATAGAATCTGATTTACAAAAAAATTATATAAATTACTGTACAATAATATATTATTCAACAAATATTCCTGTGTGTAACTCGTATTAGGTTTTTCAAAAAAAAAAAACATTTGTTCTCGATTAATGTGTGCTTTTCAGATAGACTAAAAATACTTGAAAAGTTTGTTTCTGAAACTTTTCTTGACAATATTAATATTTAATTAGTATTTTAGTGATTTAAAAATAATTAACCACACTTTTGAATATTTTTATAGCTTCATATTTTACTGCCAAATTTTGTTATTTTTAGTTGCAGTAATATTAGTTGTTTCAGCATATTTGAAGATGAAACAGTACCTAGTTAAGTATTAAGAAAGAAGGTTTTTTTATTAATTTATACATAATAAAAAAAACTTTTAAAACTCTTTGGTATTTTTAACATTTTCAAGCATGTCATAACAACTAATACAGAACAATAGATTTTAAGATACATTAAATAATGTAATGTAATAATTTAATGTTCCTATAATTGAAAGATTTTTCCGCAACAGAAGAAGCAACAAAATGGCATATATTCGAGTATTTGTGATAATACTAAAAAAATGTTGAAACACATAATTTCACATGGAAAATATCTTGTTTTATAAATATAACAGAAAATGTTTATTTGTAAAATTGTTTAATTTTTTAATTTTAATTAAGATTAGTTCCTGAAAAACAAACATGTCATATTTCATAATTTTTGTTTAACTTAACGAAGAGCAAACATTTTTGTTAACTTTATGGCCTTAATATAAATAAAATAACTAAAATTATGATATGGATATCAAAACGTAAAGTTTCAAATTTTTGGGGCAATTCATTACAACAAATAACTTATGTACCCAAGAGTAATTTACAATTAACACAGTAATTCTTTATAAACTATTAAATTAAGTTAATAATGCACAAATAATTCACTTTGAGAGGCGTTAGATCCATATTTTTAAAACAGACTTGGTTAAGCATATCCTTGAAAGAATACAGAAGTATGAGTAAAGTTGCCCTAGATCTCACTAGTACTACAGTGCAGCACAAATTTGTTACTGTCCATTTCTAAATTCCTGTGCTTTAACAAAACTTTGATTTTCGGACTTGCCCCAGTTCAATTTATAAATACGGACCTGTCTCGCGGCATTGTATTGTATTTTTTATTTTATAATTTGACTATTTTTAAAATCAAATAATAGCAAGTTTATTAAACAAATCAAAAGTTATTCACGTAAATATTTTTACATTGCTCAACAATGTGTAGTTCTACTAATTTTTAAAAATAATTAATAAAATGTTTCAAGTAGATTCTTAATTATTTAAAAAAATACATTTTAGTAAGGGGCAGGTTTTCAAGTAATAGAAAATCAAAAATAAAAACATGAAGCCCTAAAATACTGAATATATCACATTAAAATTAAAATTTTCCTATAGGTACATACATTTTTTTTGACACCAACGTGAGACATTCTACTATTTGTATCTCCTATTTTAAATTACCATCCTGCTCAATTTAACTTACATCAAAAAAACATCCAACAAAATACTGTATTACCTGAAATCAGTTTTTGCCAGGAACTGCCCCAAATAGTCATTTAGTCATTTATTAACATATCAACAAGAACAGTTATTCCAACGAGTTTAACATAAGGAGTTGCTTCAAAACTTTCGTTTGTGAAGTTTCTCTTATTTCACCAGCTAAAAACATTTCATCAACGACTGTGTAAACTTTATAAAAGTTGAAAACCAGATCTAATTCACATACATTGTGGAAATATTCATTGAGGACCTCTACGAAATTATGTATTGCTTCTAGGTAACTGAGGTTATTGTCATTAACATCAACACATATGCAGAAATAAAGTCCAGCGTATCGTCTGTACACAATCTTGAAGTTGCGAAACTGCAAATATATGTAAAAATATTATTATTATTGTGTGTAAATTATTGTCAACAATTATTTATATATTCACAAAAGGTAAACCGCTGGGTAAAATGCCGTACACCAGTACACATTGTGCCCAAATAGTACACAAAGTATTCTTCAACAAAATTATAGTCAGCACTGCTGCAATGTTGGCAACCCTACACAAATAGTACAAAATACTACACACGTAATACACAAATAATACGCAATACACAAATAGTATATGAAATAGTACTGATTGCTTGTACACCATAGTACACCAGCGGATTACCCCATGTATCTTTATTAAACCTAATACTAACGCAGTCATCTCTTGCAATAAGTAATTAAAATTTTGAAAATTGTGAAATTAATATGTCACAGATCGAAATCCAAAAGGTCAGAATTTTCTGAAATAAGTTGTAGAAATAATTTTAAAATTCGGAAACAAATCTTAAAAATCCCCCTACGAATTATTAAGACCATCCCCAAACTCCAAAGGTGAAAACTTGTAGATTTAAAAAAAAAGCCTGCCGTCGGTGGGATTCGAACCCAGACATCTTTGTTCTGTACACCAATGCCCTACCTCTAGACTGTCAAGATCCCTAGACGGCAGGTTGATGTGCTAATTCAGGCCAAGCGCCGTTTTATAATAATGCATAAAAAGAACCCGTTTGACTAATCTGAAGAGCAAAAGGTCTCTCGATGTTCTCCACAGATTGTGCGTTTACAGTGACCCAATAGTTGGTCACCAATTTTTTAGAGATGACTTGGGCAATAAAAATAAACTGTCCTTTTTCTTTAAAAAGGTTGAGAATTTACATCGTTTTTTTGCACCTTCAAAATTCTGCAAATTTTTCGACAAATGTTGTATCATAAATTTAGAAACCGTTAGTCCATATCACCTCCAGGAGCCGACAAGACTCTAGCTACTAAATTATATCATGAACTGATGACGACAAAGGAGTTTTTCATTTTTGTACTCATTATAACAGTGCTTCTATGTTGACATTTCCAAAAAAAAGCAGAGTGAAAAAGAAAGTGTATATAATCCATCAAATATATAAGCCAATGTAAACACTAAAGAATGTATTTAATAAAGTAATATCGAGCAAACTATGTACTAGAAACGATACGACTTAGAACTTCATGGAAATACCGACTTCGTGCAAAATTTTCCAGTGGTAGTCAATTCTATGACATATTAGTGTTTTAGGGGTTTTTTCTTTCTTTCTTTTTCCTCCCAAATCCACCATACTCACATATGGCTCCTCATACCATTAATAAAAATCATTAGAAGACAAGCAGTTAATTATATGTTTAAGTAAACTTGAATGTCTAGAATTTCGAAGGGATAGATTTATTATTTTTGCATAGTCATTTCAGGATCTATTCATTGTTCCCCAAACTTTTGGAATAGCGTTAGAAAAGCTGCAATAAACAGATACTCCGTTATTTTATAGTTAAAAAAAATATTACTTATCAATTCTTAACAAATACTACTCAAGTGACCATAACACTAAAAACGAAAAATCAACTAGATAAAGAAGTGGGAAGGTTTATAGTGGAAATCCGGCAAGCTGCTCGGAGGAACACACCAAAAGTAAGAAGACTGATAATTAGAAAAAACTAATCTGTCTATATAAGACAACTGGTAGCAGAAAACTAAGAAAGAAATGGCAGATGACAAAATCACCAGAAGATAAAACATATTAAATAGGACAAGCCAAATCACAAAGAAAAATCCTTTAAAAGATACCTAGTAGGGCCACAGGTGATAAAGAAACTGATTATTCGCTCTGGAAGGCAACTGAAAAGATAAAAAATTCGTGTAACCACTGTTCTCCTATCAGAATAGCAGATAACAAATGGGCAAGAGACAATCAACAGAAAGCTGATATTTTCGCTGACCACCTACAAAAGACGTTCCAATTAGATCAAGACACTCCTAACAAGACGATCCATAATATGGAACAACTTGAAATTAGGCTAGTTACTTCCAATGAAGTTGCAAAAGAAATTCAGACAAACATCAACCCACAGAAAACCCCAGGATATGGAGAAATATTAAAGAAACTGCAAAGAAAGGCTAATAAATCAAACTATATCATGTTGATTTTACTCTTCGACCAAATGAACAAAAGCAAATAAGAATAAACAATATTATTCCGCATCACGATTCGACCAAATACATAGGGATGAACCTAGATGTATGACTTAAATGGAAAGAGCACAAAAAAAGTAAAAAACTTGAACTTATACTCAAAAAAATGTACTGGCTCCTAGGAAAAAATCCAAGTTGTCAGTGTACAACAAACTGCTGATTTATAAACAAATCCTAAATCCAATCTGGATTTAAGACATATAAGCTATGGATATGTGCCAGCAATAGTTCAATAAATTAAAAAGCTGAACATCTAGTAATATCCTCTGGTAAAAGAATCTTTAACATTGTAAATAACTAAAAAAATATATACTGACAATTAATTTGACGGAATTGTGACTTATAAAGTTCTAACATCTGACGTAGAGGGCGTATCTAACCAGTAAATAAAATCGTTAGTTCAATGATTGTACCAATAGATGTCGGGCGCGATTGTCTCCAATAACTTTTACATGGCGATTATCCTACTATAGTTCTTTATACAATATATTAGATAGATAATAGAAACAACAGTAAGTACAAGACCAAGTAAAACTACCAAATGTGTATTTTGTTCAAAAAGAAAAAAATCATAAAACACAAATAAAATGCTGTCAAGTAAAATGTTCTTCGCCCATTTGTGGCGAACACACTAAATATATTTCTATCAAATGTTGGAATAGGGAGGACATGGTATAAATTGTTTATTATAAAAGTAATTTTAAAAAACTGACCCAAAAATTATAAGATATTGAATTTAGAAACATTTTTTGTGCATCACTCCTTACTATTCTATAGCTGTAGTGATTTTTTGGGTTTTCTTTGTATAGAACAGGGGTTCCCAAACTTTTTCAGTTCGCGGCTCCCTTACAGGTTTAGTATTTTGTCTATTACGAGATTTACGAAGCAGAAATTTTTAAAAAAGGAAAGTGCAGGTCTTTCTAACGAGCTTCTAAAAAAAATCCTCATCAGCTTATATGACCCACCATTGTTTATTTTGTAGCCGCGAAGCGAATACCTAAGTTCAGTTTCCTCATGGCTCCCCTTTACTCTATACGGCTCCCAGGGAGCCGCGGCGCACACTTTGGGAAACACTGGATAGGGTCCTTTGTTTGGGTGCTTTTGGCATTTAACTATTTGGTGATGTTTATTACATTAATTGAAAGTAGTTATGGCTCTATAAGGGGCCGAAGCCTATTGTTAGTTAATTAAGCTCTAATAAAGGGAAGAAGCACTTTGATTTTATAAAAAATTAGATCAAAAATGAGAGATTTAAGAGGGGTTGAAATAAAAAAAAAATCAAAAACGAAAAGTGATATCAACATGAAATGTTTAGTAAAAATCAATCTCTAAAGGGAAATAAAGCCTAATGATTCTAAAAAAAATTGAATAAAAATGGGGGGTTAACGGAGGTTGAAATATTTAAAAAAAATCCTAACTCAAAAAAGAACAATAATATCAACCCGAAATTTTTGGCAAAAATAAAGCTCTATAAGAGAATGAATAAATAAATAATAATGGAGAGAGAAGAGGGGTTGAAAAATTGAAAAAATCCTAAATCGAAAACAAAAAACGATATCAAATTGAAATCTTCGGGAAAATCAAGCTTTATAAGGGGATGTGCTTATTGATTCTGAAAAAAATCTTGACTGAAAATGGGGGTCATGGGGGTCTGTTAAACTGTGAAGAGTATAATATAGAATGCAGAGCTTTATATATCTTCATTCTGATTTGCAACTGCAGTCCAGGATGACAGATGAATAAAATTAAAATAATATTTCGATGCAAGGTAAATTAATTGCAATGTTTAGATGGGACAAAATCTGACAATTGGATAGAGGAGTGTTTTATTCGGTGATAGTGAAAATCTATTTATTTGGTCACATTAAAGAAATAGAATAAAAAAGAATACCTAGTCAAATATGCAGTCATTACCAAAATAACTAAAATACAATTTATTGATGTTTTGATAAATTTTTAGTTTTAGTCCATTTTAACCCTTCTCAAAATGTTCATAAAACAATGTGCTAGAGATGTTTTGACTATAGAAATTTAAGAAATCAAATTGGGAAGGTAAAACAAGACCTAAACTGATCCAATTTCAAAGCTTTTTAAGGTAAATAAAATTGTATAATAGCCTTCAATAGTACAGTGGATAAAAAACCAGAAACAGCCAGACATCTACTTACTCTATGACAATGAAGCCCTGGATCACAAGGGATAAGACTTTTGGGATACAAGATGATCCAAGAGTCTACAGTACATAAGCAATCTAATAACCATATTAAGATACAAAAAGTTATTAGAAAAATAAATATTTTGATGGTAAGTAGGTATTTAAAAAAATATAATATAGGAGTGGAGACTATACCTACTCTTTACACAGAAACCTAAATTATTATAATTAATCCAATTTTAAAAGTTTTTGAACCAAAATGTCTCTCGTCAAATTTTCAACAACTTTTAAAATGTCCGTCCCTCTGATGTCATGTTTTTTGTTCACACAATAAATCAAAAAACGATATCAATTTGAAATTTTTCAGGAAAATCAAGTTCTATAAAGGGACGTACCAAAGACAGAAAATCATTTTATAGGTGTGATGCCTGCTAAAAGAATACATATTATCCATTAATATAAAAAAAGTTTTGTCCTAAAAACAGACATCAATTTCGGCCCACCAGGGATCTCTGACAATGTTTAAGCACTTTACTAAATACATAGCATATAATTTCATGTTTGCTGAACATAATTTATATTCTGTAATCAAATGCAGTCTAGAAATAGTTTTTCTTGGTATGTTTCTATCAAACCCCACCATACCACTTATGTTACACTAGGTCACCATACCAACACAGGGTTAAAGGTATGTAGTACGTTGTTTACATTAATAGTCTGATTGAAATTCAATGAATGAAAAATAACACATTATTAAAAGTATAAATGTACTTTTACCTCAACAAAATTTGTATGTTTGGCATCTCTTACAGTAACCACAGCATGAACTTCTTCAATCAATTTTTGTTTTTCGTCATCATCAAAATTCATATACCATTTGGCTAATCTTGTTTTACCGGCCCTATTTTGTATGAGGATGAATCGAATCTGTAACAAATAACATACTGATTAGATTGCGTCTGCATAGGAGGCGTATTCCAAAATTGATTTGATAAGAAATATTTATTAAAACCACTACGTAACAATAGTTTATGTAAAGAACAAAGTGTCTTTAACACAATTTTACCATTTTAACGGCCTTTCAAGTATCTTGAGCTTAAAATATTGATAATATACTTAAAAAGTTCTAAAAATTTGCTACTTGAATCTACTTTTAACAAATTTGACAAGCACAGACTTTTGACAAAACTGACAGAAATAGCAAATGACAAAAAACTGACATTTTTAAAAATTAATTAGTCAGTTCGGCAATTGCAGCTCCTTTTACTTTTTTCGCAATATTGACTAGAGTTAACAGTTTGAAATTCGCTTGTTTCAGAAATGAAGACCGTAAACAACGTGCCGTAGGTTCATGTTTAATGAGTAGGTAGCTGACTAAAAATTAAAAGAAAATTAAAATTGAAAACGTGCGGTAAATTGAAGGGTAAATTCCAGTCCTACTTACTCCCACTCACACACCGCTACACGAACCAACAAATAACTGACTACTGACATATTTAGCCGTCATTTGTCATTGTTTGTAAACAAACAAACCTCATACAACCATTACAGGAAAAATAAAATAAAATCACTGAATATAAATCTAAAACAAAATGTCCAAAGCAAAAAGTAATATAAATAAAAGTAATACATTTTTAATACTTAATAATTTTTATTTCAGCCAGGAACAAGAGGAGCAAGTTTGCTGTTGGTGATAAAGCAAAAGAAACAATAGAAAACCTGACTGAAGATAACCCGGTCTTGTTAATGTTTAAAGAATATACACGAACTTTAGACGAAAAACATGATAGATATGAGAGAATAGTGAAACTCGGTCGTGACATAACAATAGAGTCGAAGAGGATAATTTTTCTACTTCATAGTACAAATGCAGATCTGTAAGATATTTTAAACTATTGAATCCCCACACTTGCTATTCAATCTATAGGTCAATTTTTGTAATTTTTCTTCCACGCTCCATACTTTTCAAGATATAAAGGACAAACCAAAAAATGGGGCTTTCCCCCTCCATCCCTTACTCATTTTAGCTGACGCAAAAATTATCCCAACTTCCATGTTCTTTGCAGCCCCCTATTAAACATTCATCAACTGCATTATTATAATGGTCACTGCTTAAAGAACTAATTTTTTAGGGAATCTAAGAGAATGCAGGTAGTTGAGGAAGCAGAAAAACGATTAAAAACTGTCATAGATACTAACCTTAAAGCGATAGCTTTTGAACTCAAAGATCAAGATAGTTACCAGTATCACAAAGCATATACTTGTGGGTTACAAGAATTCATTGAAGCAAGCACATTTTGTAGCTATGTTAAAGAAGAATATGTTAAGGATTGGAACACAATGAACAGTTTGTTACAGTATAAAACTGAAGAAGGTGAAGAGTTTGCATTGGTTTTTCCACAAGTGGATTATATACTAGGCTTGGGTGATTTTACTGGAGAACTTATGAGAAGGTGTTTGAACACTTTAGGTGTTGGAAATGTTGGAGAATGCTTTAAATTATGTAACTTTGTGAGGCATATTAATACAGGATTTTTAGGTAAGTAATATTTTTTTTTTGTTTTCATTGTGAAATACTGTAATCTATTAGCGTTTTCGATTATATTGCTTTTGCACGGATCCAGTTCCACAGAAATTATGTCACAATTCACTCTACGTTCGTTGTCAATGTAGTGTAGAAATGAACCCGAGGTTTAAAAAAAATTAAGCTGCAGTACTCTCGCATTACTCTGAATTATGCTGAATTACTTTCATATTATTCTGCATTACGCTAAATTACTTTCGCATTATTCTGCATTACGCTGAATTACCTTACATTAACTCATTCTTCTATGGAAGGATGTAAAAACAACCTGGTTCTAGAAATTGTCACGTAAGTAAGTACATCAAGTTATAAAGACTGGCATTTTTTAAGGTCTTAAGATGCTGATTATAGACTGAGATAGAGATAATCTTTTATAACAGCTTTCACCATTCAGCTCTACAACACAATTTTTAGTTTTATTATTTTTTGTTTAATATCATTTATTTCTTTTGTAAACCAAGCTGGGTAATTGTTTTTGAAGTTACTTAGTTACTTCGCTTTGGCTCAAACCTATCAATTGTTGAGTAAAGTATATTATATATCTTGTCAACAGCTTCATTTACTTCTTTTACAGAGTTTAAGAATGACCAATCTGTATTAACTATGTGATTGTTAAGAAGAGAAAAAATTGCTTTGTGGAAATTGTAATTAAATGTATCAGTATTATACTCAATGGAAGGTTTGTCAGTTTTTACATTAATGATGATGCTTAATGCCGGATGATAGAAGTCCTGTGCAACAAATGGAATATCGTCATGAGTTACCTCACATAGGGAGCTAAAACTAAGTCCAATAATTTATTATTGGTCAACCTTATTGAATTGAGTGAGGTCATGAAAATGGATCATATTGTTGTAGTCTAAGTAGATTTGCATTATTAAACTGACCCTCATCTAACTTAATTCTCTCAGATATCCAGGCAGCTTTGAAGGCTCTTGATTCAAACAGAATTAAGTCAAAGCTTGTCTGGAACTGCCTTGGAATCATATCTTGGAATACTAAATGATCTGGCAACCCACAACAAGGTAAAACTGGCGTGGGTACCAGGGCACAAAGGTATCCAAGGAAATGAAAAGGTTGATGAACTCGCAAAAGAAGGATCAGATCTACCATTCACAGGACCCGAACCTGTATTTGGGATAAGCAAAACCTCTGCTCGACAGGCAGTGAACTGGTGAATAACCATAAAACACCAAATTCACTGGCAACAGATAAGAGGGAATAGAATCAGTAAGCTCATGCTAAGGGGACCAAACCCACGCATGGCTACTGAGGCAATACAACTCACAAGGCCTCAGATATCCAACATTGTGGGATTACTAATGGGGCACTGCTTGCTGAAACACCTTCATGTAATGGGATTACACAATGATCCCACTACGTGTAGACTTTGCATGGAAGAGGAAGAAACCTCATACCAAGTGATCTTCGAATGCAAAGCTCTTACTGGGCGACGTTTCATCCTTTTCGGCCTAGAACCGGAAAGAACGCCCCAGGAACACTTGGTAGGAAACCTATTAAAACTAACCAAAGACACAGGACTATTCCAAAGATAGTACCTGAATACGGGGAAAGCAGGGGAATACAATAGACCCAAGAGGCTGCAGTGTTCTGGGCCAAACCTAACCCTACCTGCTTACAACTGATAAAGATAAAGAAAAAAACTTAATATAATCTGGCATGTTCCAGTCACCTAAAATGATGATGTTGTTATGATGAAGACCATCAAAGGATTCTAGCCTTTCACAGAAGTTACTAATTTCCTCTAGACTACATTTTGGCGGAATATACACTACAATAGCATAAAATAAGACATATTTAAGGAAGTTGTGTGTGTTTTGCGGGTGTTTTGATAGTAGCATCTGAGTGAGATGTTTTTCCGCCTTTGACGAGTTTGCTAGTTTTTTTTTTTTCATTTTTACAATTTTAAGTTCACAATGGATATATTTTATTGTTATATTTGATTCCCTACTTGACAACCGTGCTGTGAGTTCTGCTTTGATCAGTTTATATTGCTGAGATTGTAGGGGAGTTTTATTGGAGGCGGTGACGATATTTGTAAATTGATTATTATTTTTAAGTTTCTTTCCATTGCATATTATTTCTGCTGCATCAAGTGAAGATGAAAAAATAAGTTTTAATGGCCTGGATTTGTTAACAGCCATATTAGCTCGGCCAACTCTGAATATTTTGGTATTGTCTAGTAAGATATTTGGATTAATAATCGATATTATTTTGGCGAACTTTGACTTCTCAGTATTAGAATCATTAAATTCAGCCAGACCAAATATCATAACATCTTCTTTCGGTTTTCTCTATTGGCCATATCTGCAATTATCTGATTAAAACATGGAGTGTTTTCTGGATTGTCTCTTTGACTGCTTACATTAGATGTTTTTAGCTGTTCTAGGTCCCTCTTAATTTCTTCTACTTCTGATGTAGCTTCATTAGCTTGTGATAAGGTTTTGTCCAGTTTTGTCTTCAATTCCTCAACAGTTTCTCTGAGTGTTGTTATTTCTTTTTCTAATACCATTATTTTCTTTTTCCATGATGGGGTCTGCTTAAATGCTTCGCGACAGTCATCGCAGAAGAAAATGACGACCTTTTGTTTCTGTAAACCCATACAGCACAGAAATATTTTAAAAATATTATATTGAAACATTTGTAATGTTGTATTAATATTACGAAGCATCCTATAAACATTTCTGAAATGTGCCTGAAACGTAAAAAAATGTCCCCTAAATATAATATTTCACAGTAATATTTCTGAAATAATTTGAAATTTTTTAGAAATATTAAATAGTAATATTTCAGAAATCTATTCTAACTTTTTTTTCTAAAATATTATTAGACTAAAAAAAAGACATTTATATAAATATACATTTATTTAAAATACAATTCTTAAACAAACAAATAATTAATTTTTAAACATTATTTCATAAAATATAAAAGCAAATAGCCTAATTTCCACAAATTCCTTTAAATGCACTTATCTGAAACAGTTTTTTTAAATAAATGCTCAAATGAAACATTTATAATTTTTACAATCTGATCATTAAGATCAATTAGCAATTTTATTTTAATCCAACTTATCAAGGTACGAAGAACTTCATAAACTAATTTTCTAATCACTAGTATACCTTAGAGTCTAATTATTTACACTACCGTTAACGTATAACACTTAATTGCACTATACTGTGCTTTAACATTGCTGAACTAACTGAAAAGGCTTGGTTCTCTCGAGTCTTCTTATTGGATTGGCATTGTTGAGCTGGATAATCTCAAAGTTTCCATGTTGGAGCAGTCGTTGTTGGTGACTACTGGCAAATTTTTGTATTGTATTTTCAACAATCTTCACTTTAAAGTCCCTATGAAGATCAGTATTGTGGCAGTATATACCAGGATGCATCGACTATGTTCTTTAATACTTTATTCTGGAAATGTTGAATAACTGGCACATCCCCAAAGCTGGCAAATTACTTTATTTCCACGAATTCCTTTAAATGCACTAATCTGAAACAAATTATAGATAATTAAAAAGAATTTATATAAATACTGTAGAACTAATAAATAAAACTGGTGTAAGACTCTCCTGAAATTGAAATTTTAAAGGGTCATATCTGCCAAATTTTTTAGTTTATTGTAACGTTTGTTTAATTTATTTATAGTTTATTCATTTAAAACACTTTTAATTTATTTATAACGTACTAATTAGTTTATATGATACTTAGGTACTATTATAACTCACAATTCTAATTTATTTATTACAATTTATCTTTTCTGACCAACACTTAAATTGAATCTGCCCGTCCGTCGACAACTCGCGCTATTTATATAAAGCCAAATCTGTACTAGTAGTTTCTAGACTATCTCGAATATCCGAAATTTCCATCGCTATGAGTAAACGGCCAAGTACCGCTTTTTTGGTAGTTTCAAGAAGCGGTGCGTTTGTCTCTATATGTCAGCGCAGTCATCGCAGATTTCATACCGCGGACAAGGAGTAAACAAAGCACAGGTTTGACTTTCGCGCTACATTATGAAAAAAGTTAATTGAATGTTTTGTGGAATATCCAATTTTAATTTATTCCTGTTATATAAATACCAACTTTTTATTTTACTTTTAGTCTAAGAACTAGCGGCCGCAAGGTGGTGTACGATCGTGCCTTTGGCTGGAATTTTGTGAAGTGGTTGACGGGACAATCAGAAAATGTCAGCTGCAAGAATTTGGCTTAAAACCATTGCAAAGAGGACGACAGGCAACTCAAAGCTGAAAATTTACATATCACCTATTTGAAGGTCACATATGAGGTATGTTAATCGTCAGATGGCTAGGCTACTGCTAAAGGGCTGTCAGACGCCCTCAAGTTTATAATTTCTTGTTGAATTTTAGAATATTCATATTTGATTAGATTACTCACTTGACATGTCTCCATGGCTCAACTTTACATTTCGCAACCTCTGTTCAGTTGTCGATGAGAGCAGTCTTTTATTTTGGAAAAAATATATGAAAATTTAAAAAATACATACTAGTGTTTTTAAATACATTTTATCATAATATAACCCCTATAGTTAGGCAATTCGTTAATCTTTCCGCTATTTGTTTTGTACTATTATTAAAAATTTTGTTTCTAAATTATAATTTTTCTGAACCGAAATAATACAAAATAAACAGCGAAAAGATTAATGGATTGCCTAACTGTATACAGGGTGTCCCAATGAAAACTAGCCCATTTCCAGAGCTTAAAACTTTTAAACAAATCGTAGAAACCTGTGGTTTTTGCTGATATGTATTATTTTAAATTCACCGTAACCAAATTTTATCAAATGGAAACGGACTACTTTTCATTGGGACACCCTATATTGTGATAAATAAATAATAGTACGTATTTTCTCAATTTTTATATTTTTTCCAAAATAAAAATGGTTGATATCATCGGGAATTGAACCCCGGTCGCGATATGCAAAGTAAAATGCATGTTAAATGTCTAAAGATGTGTGCCATGGAGACTTGTGTCAAGTGAGTTACCTATTTAAATATGTGTATTTTAAATTTTCACAAAAAATACAAATATTAGGGCGTCTGACAGCCCTTTTGCAGTAGTCTAGCCATTTGAAGATTAGCATCAAGCATCTATGACCTTCGAAAAGGTGATATTATGTAAATTTTCAGCCGGAGGTATGATCGTTTTTTTAAACAGTACTTTTTACAACTTTGAGTTTTCTGACGTCTCCTTTGCAGGGGTTTTAATCTAAATCCTTGCAGATGACACTTCCTGATAGTCTCACCAACCACACCAACAACAAAATTTCAGTCGGAAGTACAATCGTACCACCTTGCAGCCACTACAACTCAGTCTATTCCTTTGTATTGTATCAAATAGTGCTCTTTGTAGTTGTTATGTTCCGAAACATCTCATTTTTTATGTACAAATAAATTCACTTCACTACTTTGTTCCAACTCTCTGACATTCTTCCAGTTTTCCGTATTGGGTCAGTGACTTCTTTTCTATCTTTGCATTATTTCGTTTTTCCTTTGTCTTTGTTATTCATTGATTTTGGTAAATTATACAAAAGCGAACTTAACTTATTAAAAAAACTGAAAATTTAACGTGAATTATATCTAGACATTTTTTGGTATATCCAACTTATTTAAAAAGAGAATAAAAGAAGAACCTATCATACATTTTTAAGAAATCACTTATATTCCACTTGTTTTATTTTTTGATAAAAAAAATAAACTTAGATTACGCAATGTGCATGTTCCTATTATACCTTGTTCGATTCATTGTAAGGTATGTCCCCTATTTTGAAATTTTCTTACCTGCCAAACGTAAACCTCAGATATTACACTTGATTTTTGTGGATTTAACCTAAATTACCTCAATCCGAAAATGCTTCATAAAGGAGCTATTGCTCTTTGAGTTGGCGCCTTCTAGTAAATTTGTTCAACATACCTTAATAATGACATTGCCTCGAAAGTTTAAACTTGACAAAGTTTCTAATGGCCAATCGACCACTGTAAATTTGAATTTTCTGTTGTAATCACCAAGTGGCTGAAATGGGTTCAACATTTTTAATTACAATTCTTTTTTCAGTTTTTTAACATTAAGAAAATCTAATTTGACCTATTTGCTTTTCTTACGATTTAACAATGAATTTAATACTATGTTAAAATGACAGAATTTAGCAAATTACTATTAGTTCTTGAAAAAATTGACTTAAAGGCACCAACTTCAAAAAGCTCTAGCTTCCTTATGAAACATTTTCGGATTAAAGTAATTTAGGTAAAATCGACAAAAGATCAAGTTTAATGTATGGGGTTTCCGTTTGGCAGGTGAATTCTGGGACACCTTGTATCTCTATAATTATTAGGAGGGATTACTACATCATTCCCAAAAATGGGAAGGTCTGAACTGGTTATAATGGAGTCCATATGACTAAGTATTCCTTGAACTTATAATTGCAGTTATTTAACCATGTACCAAACCCAAGATTATTTGCATTACAAATCATAATTAGAATTCTACCTTCTTTAATTTAACGATCCCTGGATATTCGGTATCTATCTGCAACTAGTTGCAGGTTCTTTTTATAGCTGTATCGAAGGGTTTTGAAGCAAACTACATAAATCAAAATGGGCCCCAAAATATTTTGCAACGTCATAAGTAAGAATAGTTCTTTCTGTGATGAGAAAACCTCTTACAACTAACGGGAACTAAAATCGAAATTACTCATAAGTGGGGAAAAAGTGTTTAGCCGCCTCATTTATTTGGTCATTTTAAATGCATTTTATCTTCATGAACTATCACTGTAAAAAATAAAATAAATAATATTTTCCTTTTAGGTCTTATGGCTCCAGGTTATAAGGAATTGTCAAGAAAAGCGTATGTTCTAAGGCAGAGTTTGGAAAAAATGGAATTGGTTTGTTATAACATCCAAATCAGAGGAAGTGAAATTCCGAAGCACATGCTTTTAAGTGTAATTGAATCTAGTGACCTTAATGAGAATGATGATGAGGGATTTTACTAAGCATGAAAGGTTAACAAGAAAGAATAGATTAATAATTTACATTTAATTTGTTTGATGTTATTTTTAATCTTAAGAATTTACATTTAGTTTATACTAATAAAGGTTTCATTTTTTAAAACAATTTTTGTGGTATTTATTAGTTTTATTTTTATGCTCTATATCTGATTATTTGTTCCGATAACTACATGCTTTAAAATATCCATTTTGGATGTTATGTCGACTATATTGAAAGAAAAGTAAATATCTGATATGCTTTTACTGTTACCCTGCACTCTTGTAGGTTTATTTATTGTAGAGATGTACCGTTTTCATTTAGAATGTTTAAATAGTCCCAAGTAATTATATTATTGGTTTTCAAAAGGTCTATGTTAATGTCTCCTATCAAGATATACTTAGATCGTTAACATTATTATCGTTTAAATAGTTTTCTAGTTGTTTTATAAATTCTAGCGCCGTGGAATTTTGAGATAGTCGTATCTGATTCGAGATTGATATTGATTTGTAATATGTTAATGTTGTTAACAATCTCTATTATTTTATATTTACATTTAAGATAAATTTAACATATACCTTTTTACTATTTTTAGTTTATTTCTAAATATTGTTTACAGGTCATAAATAATAGTTTAAATGTGTGTAATTGGTAACTAAATGATTGTATATTTGATACATGTTATCTGCTTACTTTAGGAATATATTTACAACAGTGATAAACGATATAGTTTAGGTAAGCAAAATGAACAAAACGCACTCAAAAAATTACTGTCACTTCAATTGTCAGTGGAACCATAATTACATCATCACTAAATTAGCGTATTACACATCCGCAAATGTCATTTAGTTTTCGCGTTCGATAGAGTCAGTAGTGGCGCCAGTCACACCTTTAGGTGTGTTATTTGCAAATATTTCGTTAATTCTTGCCTTGTAGAACATAGAAATCGTTTTCTGCAGCGATGGAGCCCTTAACGACGACGTCTTACAAAGCCTGTTTAGAAAATGCTGTCATAGAAGCGCAAACTTGAAATTTTCAGATATTATTTACATTAAAAGTTAATAGAAATAAGTTTGATGCAACCTTCTTGAATTTCGACTCACAGTATCTGTAATATGTGGAGGGTGTGTTACCCTACGGCACTTAGGCCTAACTAGGTCCATTGTGCAGCCTAAAATTATAGACATCCTAGCTCGTAGAGGCGCTTCTTTTATATCCGCGCCGAATATAAATATTTTAATTAATGAGAGCGTCGGGCAATCGTAGAGGATATGCGCGATAAGTGCATCTTCTTGTTCGCACTCCCTGCAGTGTGCGGATTCTGACAGCCCCATGCTATGGAGATGCTTCTGTATTTGTCAATGACTGGTCAGACTTAGATTATGTCTAGTTTTTGTCAAGTATTTGTTTGCTGTAGTGTTGTCAGGATAACTTAACAGCTCCTTGGCCACTTTGCAGCTTCTTGGTGCTTTAATTAGATTTATCACTACCGATGTTGTCAGTCCAATGGAAGGACCAGGTCAAAAAAGTATTTTTTTTATGTGCGGATATCTGTCAATTGCTGGGTTTTCGGCACCAAGACAACTGCACCGTATGCTAGCATAGGTCTGTCTTATGATGGCCGTGTAAGTCTATGTGACGACTCTCGGGAAGACACCTCAGGTGCGGCACACTGACGGCATTGTTCATAAGCAATGTATGCTTATTTAACTCTGTTTTCTAGGTGTGAATTTCATGTTAACTTGCTGTCAATGGTGAGACCTAGGTGCCTCTGTTGCAAAGTTTAGTTTTGTGTTTAGGAGCTCTGAAGGTTTTAGTTCCATTTTCAACCTTTTTCTTATGAAAAGGACCAATTCTGTCTTCTTGGGATTGATAGGGAATGGTCCCTACACCACTGTTACATAATTTTTAGAGATACTTGCATTTGGCTCATAACACCTTCTTGCTTGCTAGCAAGAAATTTCATCTCCAAATTGATATTTATTAAAATATATAATATTCTATTACAAAAAATGAGCCTTGCGTAAATTCAACATATTTTAGTAACAATTTCATTTTCCAAACTTGAAGGTTTTCAACCGTTACTAAGATGACTAAGATTATAGCTTTTTGAAGACATCGTCATCGAATACACTCCGCTGTTGCAAAATATTTCCATCTTCTAAAATAATTTATTCCTATATAATAAATTTATAATTTAATAGCCTTGTGCAAATATGTATCAAAAAATCTGATATGTCCAACACATGACTTTCCTATCTAGTTATTATAGGCTCTTTCCGGTTATTTTGTACAACCTATTGCAGCTCCTCTATAAATATTTAGAGGATAAACTAAAAAAATACATTTTCCCATACATCTACCTCGAAACATTTTTCTATAGATAATAAAAACGAAAATACTGAAAAATTTAAATTTAGCACTTTTCCTAAAATTTTTCCATTACGGTCCACTTTAGAAAAATCATGTATAAACAAAAATTATAGAGATCGATATCGCAAACAACTTTTAGTTAAACAATTTTCATAAAAATCAGAATTTTGCACATTTTGTCAAATTTCTCGAATACGGACCATTTCAGGAAATTTTGACAAAGCAAAAATTATAGATAATAATATTAGAAGTAACTTTTATTTAAAAAAAAAGTGTAATGAATTAGGTATTTAATTATTTTTAAATAAAGTTATAATAGAATGAAAACATAAACAAATTATAATTATATTGTAAAGCATATTATTGATTAAGTTTTGATCGTAGTTATAGCTATTAGCAATTTGTTTAATTGTTTTTAATTCCTTATTAAACGACAAGGGGACTTTTTATAAACGATTTAATAGAGTTAACAATTGAATGCAGCTAACTTATGTGAGACTGGATGATTAGATAAATGTTATCTATTTTTTTTAAATACCTACACGACCTACCAGTGGCTTTTCTCATTTCGCTTCACATCTTTTAGACACTAGCCCATGATTGTCATTCAAATACGGGTTATGAAGTTCTGCATTGCTTTCTTACAAGTTTTTTAATAATTTTGAGAACCTAGAAATTTTAAAAAATATTACTCGGCACTTCAAGTTCATTGAACTCCCAAATTCGATTTATGGTTAACTACACGGGAAAAAAATATTTTTTTAACAATCTCAAAAAAATAAATCAATACCCATAAGTAAAAGTATTGTTACGCAGGTTTTTGGTATCTCAATTTATTTCAACTCAACTTTTACAATAACTATACAACTGCCCATCTAACATTCAAAGTGCGGGATAATGCTGGCCATGTACATTTTATGCCGGGAAAGTGACGATGATGGGAAAATGTTGAAGGCCCATCATATATTTTATGCTACATGCCCAACATATGTTATCGCCAATGGGCCTGTCATGGCAACCTAACGGTTACCCGCCAATAAAATGATAGTGTATTGCACATCTGCTGGTTTTTTAACACTTTTCCGCCTCTATGACAAAATGTATTTATACATATTGTAATAAATATCAAAAAAAATAAATTAAAATGTTTAGGAAAGTCATATTAAATAGTCAAGTTGGCGCAGTTGCTACCAAAATCTCCAAAATAATTTTACCAAATTTATTGAAATGTGTCCATGCATGAAAATGTCGTGTATGTATAATTTAAATAACGCGCCAAGAAATCGATATAAAAAACAAAGATACAATACAGTGAAAAATCACTGGTGGTTTTATTTGTTTGTTACACGTGCTAGCTTGTCGTTACTTCATTTTATTTTTAAACAATGTCTTCGCATTTTAAAGTTAGAAGCAAAAGTTCAATATATCGAGAAATCAAAAAGAGTCTAAATGCAATGACAACTATAATTAACGTTGATTATGCTGCAAAAAAGGTAAACTCCCAGAAAATGCTAGCATCTCAACGTGTGAAAATATTAGAGGCAGAAGAAAATGTGCTAGATGTTCCACAAACTTCATTTGAAACTGAAGAACAGTGTCCTCTAATATCTGAAAAATATCCTCTAAATATTTGAATCATTTTAAATTAAATAATTTGGACAATTGGCAAAATTGATGAAATTTATTGTGTAATTTGAAAGGATATTAATATAATAAAGAAAAATTGTTTATGGTTAATGTATATTTTTATATAATAAAAACTGCTTAATTTTGACCACTGAAAAATAAACTACCTTTTTTTATTTTTAGTGCACTATTTTCAAAGCTGTAGGAGGAAGAGATTATTTGGATTGTGTAAGAAGAGTTCTAATGAAAACAGTCTCTCATACATTAGCGTTACAAATGAATTGGTCAGGGCGAAACCAAAAACTTAAATTTATGGAACTAAAAAATTTATTTATTAGGTAAGTTAAAATGTTTATATTTCATGTCTAATTAAAATCAAATAATGTTGTAACGTTATAAAGCACTCTGCAATATTTTCTAATGGTTAAAAGTTCATTTTTAATTTAGTTATGTAATGTTATGTGGTGCACTGGATTACTGATAAAATTAACATTTTTTCCTGCAAGAGGTACCTCACTATAAAATTAAAATTTCAATAATGTGTCATTCATGGTACATTCTCTACATATTTTATTGGTTACTATTTTGTGCTACCTTACTGAATCGGTCATTTAAGAAACAGCACGTATCAGTTGTATATCATTTTTCAAAAAATTAAATTGAAAATCTCATAATTTGGTTAAATAAATAATTTTGTACACTTAGAGTTTTAAACTTGCTCTATTTCGGGCATATTACAATTATTTAAGTAAAAAAATTTATCGGTAACAAATCATGGTTGATTAAAAATGAGCAACATGTGATGTTTCTGAAATGGCCAAATATGTGACATTTCTCAAATGACCGATTCAGTTATAGTGATGTTAAAGTATTGAACAGTACCATTTTTTTGACTACATTTACATATTTATATTGACTTTATGTAAAACAATTGAAAATGTGTAGTTATCCGATAAAATAAAATTCTAAAAAATATTAGTTGATGAGTTTATGCTGCAAATCAACAATGTAATTGGTTAATATTTTAAAACTTTGTTTTTAGCAGTGGTCCGAAATAATCCATTATCAAAAAATACCTCTGAACAAGAGGTAGAGGCTGTTATAAAACAGTGGTTGCGAGCTGCAAGTGA